TTTTTTGGCTTGCTTTAGGATGCTGTCTTTTAGCTTCGTGTTATTCATCATATCTGGTGTGTTCAGTTTTAAGGACGTAGATTTGTCTACTTGCACTGTAACCAAAGGTTGTTTGCGACCTCCTGTTTGCGCAGACAACCTCTGTGAATATGGTGCCACTTGGCGACTTGTGGAGCAGGAACAAATTCAATATATCGAGTTCGAGCTATTTGGTGATATAAAGTCGAGCAGTGGATTCATCTCATTGGTTTTTTCCAAGGATCCATATTTCGTAAGTTAATTTTGCGGTGTCATCAACGGTCTTCTGTGATATTTAATGCACACAAACATGCGAAATTTTTGTCTTGTACACCGATGATAGTGGTTATTGATACCATAGTCGACCATACGGGTGTATGTTTATATTTTTCGTTTTCTCTGAGGCCTTATATGCACTGAAAGCTACACTTTTGTTTCAGTAGCTCTCTTCAACTTAATGTCTTTTATCATTTGTTTCGACAATCGTAGCATAAGGCATGCGTTTTGATTCTCACTGTAATATGAGGTTTACAACCTTGCATATTTGCAAAATCAATTGTGATGGCTTCGGTTTAACGTCATGTTTTAACTTGTTTATTGTTATGCATACATTGAATGGCACTTAGATGGGCCCCGTGGCATATCATTGCAGTCACTATGACGTTATGGACCTAAACGTTTTCGTGGATTGGTACCCTCCTTTTAGTCTGTGATTTTTTCCGACCGCGTTTTCTTTTACTTATGAAACTTGATTTAATGCCCATTTCCAGCGTGAGCAGAAGTATTGACTGTGTGAATTTTAGTTGTCTATTCTGAATCCCTTCTGTCTTTCTTAAAAATGATGGCGTTGTACACCGCTTTAACTTTTTTTTATTGTAACATTGGGTTTCCTCTTAATGAGAACTTTCTTTTCCATTAATATACGCTCGTACTTTGAGCCGCCATCAAATGAAGTTTAACCAAAAACTTTAGGGATTTTAAAAGCTGTTCTATACCAATAAATATTTCACGCATGCCAAAGCATTGTTACTTGGTAAAACGACAGTGAACAGTCTTGTTTGGCCTTGTGTTTTCAATAATTCAATCGTTATCATTTAAGACATTCAAAATGCTCGATCCTAGTTACACCATTGAGCAGGTGGTGCGGCGTGTCGATTTTTCTGTAAGTTCTTGAATTACTGCCCATCTAATTTAGTCGTCAACTCAAATAAAATTTATCATTCCTCGTTAACGTCATCCGTGGACTGACGCATTATTTCTTTGTATTATCACTTCACGAATTTCATGTTTTGGTAAAGAGTAATAGGTCCCTATAAGCATTTCAACGTATTTTCAGGTGCGCATGTTTTAAGTAGTGTTTTGATGAATGTAGTACTTGTCATGTCAAATGACGTTCTATGTAGGGATGGATAAGGGCACGTCGTACACCCGAACAGGTGGTTTTTTATGTACTTTAACCTTACTACAGTGACCTCTCTCCAAATTGTTAAATGACACTGAAGTCATAATAAGCAAGAGTGGTATTTAATCAAAAGTGTAATTTAATGCTGCAATGCTTCTAGGCAGGAATTTATTTATGGTGCTGAAATGTTTTGTCAGTTCACCCTGATCTAGCCGACTTTTAAGCTTCCAGTTACTTTTCCTTTATTTTACCATCGATCTTCCTCAAGGTATTGTATGATGAGACCTCATAAAGGAAGTCCTGCTGGTTGTATATTTCCAAAGATTTTTTCCCCTTTCCTGTAAATTTAAATTTTGAATTTAAAAAAAGTTAGTGCTAATGCCTTGTTGTTGGAATCATTTGGCTTTAAAAGATGTCTGCCGGAAGCTTCGGGTGGAGCGTATTTAAAAAGTACGAGTTGTTTGTCACTAGTTGGTCATTACTAATTTACAAGTCTTCCGTTGAGGGCTGTTAACGAACGCGTTGAACAAATGTTGCCTTTACAACAGTGTAAGCACTCATGAGTAAAAAAACTGACCAACGATTTTCGGTCTTAACTACTATTTTTTGGCATTGCTGACTTCTGCTTCTTCATTGTTACGTTTTCGATTTCGCTTAAAACTACCGTTATTCACGTTTCGCTTGTGTCAACTGCCTGGTTTATTTATCTGGTATGGTCCACCAAATCTGTGTCTTCGCAGGCTCCGGTAGTCACATTCCCATGACTTGTACGCGGTTACCAATTCGTAGCTATAAGTATTCAAATAGCCCAGCAGCATTTGGTCCACTTTTCCCAAAAGGAGCGGGCTGGCGCACACACCGCGGCGTAGTGATCGATGTTTCTGGCGCGTGCACGCGTTCGGGTGCCACCAGCCAATCAACAGTGCGCCGGCTTTGGTCTGCTTGCCTGCCTCCCTGCAGGTTTTTATCGATTCTCGGGCGTGGGCGAATTCAGCCCACGCAAGCGCGTTGATGTGCAAGTGTTTTTTCGAAGACGTAAAGTCATGCAAACACTCATAGATGAGTCATTCAATACTCTTAATTTCATTACAAGGGAGTAAGGTTGCACTAAACAGAGGCACGAGGCAGCTGGGCATTATTTTTACTCTTGTTGGCAAATATTTCTGACCATTAGCAGGTAAACAATGCAGGCTACCGAAGTAGTATCTTCAGCTTGACTTCCTGTAAAGATTACCGAGTGACCAAGCTATTTAGTTCTTGGTGCTGCGGGTTAACGACTATTGCTCCCTTATGCCGTGTGTAGAACCGTTTCAACTGCGTAATATAGCTTTGCCCTCTTATAAGTGACGTCCATTATTCAATAACCGTTAATGAGCTACTATAGTCCCTGATTCTAGACTCAGACTGTGGAACCCATAAGGTAGCAAAAAGACCGAATCCGATCTGGACAAGTCCGTTTATCCATTAACCAGACCAAGTTGTATCGTGTGTTGTCGCCAGTGTAGAATTTTATGCAAGTACAAGTACAACGGGGGGCGATGCACAAAATGCATTACTGGAATTGGAGATCACTGAAAAGCAGTGAATCTTGTCTACAAGTCTTTTAAATGCAATCTTCGCCAACGGTGATATCACATTACGCGAAATCCCAAACATTAAACCCTCCCTTTTTGTTGCCTTGTAGGGTGGTGATGGCTTTGTCGGTTGCTATTATGATACCGTTGATTTCAAGACGGTTGTTCGTGCTGGCTACAGGCCAGAAGCCAGCGATTCCAACCATCTTTACAATCCTGCTGACGACGAGGTATGTGTTATGCCTTCTGGTTTACCCTGAGTGTCAATTTCCTAAATAGTTTAGTCACGACGTCTCTTAATTCCCCTGCATAACCCCTGTTTGTAAGATTTGCAGTCACTTTGTCATAGTCTGCACTCACTGTGTGAGAGACCATCTGTGCACATGTCGACCGCGTGGCTTTAGATATCAACTAAACACCCATCTTTTACCCCCTGGGCGAAAGAACTTGATTCAGGCCAGTCGATGGTTTCGGATTTCTTAGCTGTCTCAATTACCGTACACGACCATTCCAAACGAAGCGGAATTTTACGAGCTGGAGTTCCCTTGTCACTACTGTCCCCTTTGGGCTGCAGGAACGCGGCTGCCGACATAACCAGCGAAATGTTTATATAGCGTGCATAAAGAATGCGTAATGATTAATGCTCCAAATAACTTGCTTGTTTATTTGATATTTCATACTGCTTTTTTGTCTCAAATTTTGTCGATTTAACTTACCAGTACTTGGTGAGGTATGTGCCTTAAGCGGCATCAACACACGCAGTTCCCAAGTATTTGCTCAAGATTAGGTGTACGTCACTCTCGTGTGTCGTATAAAGGGTTGCTGTAGCATGACTGCTGAGCACTTGATGTTCCTTCTTAAGCGTGACATGTTGCTATACTGGTTTTGGTGCCCGTTTGTTGACTTAGTCCTTTGAACGCACATGACTCCTCATCATTGATCTGTGGTCGTAACAGTCCACAAATGCCGCCAGTACCGAGTTCCTTTGCTGTATTTTTGTAGAAACTGTTGATTACTACTGGAGATGATCTTGGCAGCTCCTATGTAGACGCACAGCACTACCTCCAGTGTCGATTCCGTCGCCGCGTCACCCCCGTTAAGATGGCCAACCAGCTTAAGGACCTGGCACCCCCAAATGCCTATTATCTAATAATCCAGCGCGGTTCCGATCCCTTGAGGACTAGCTTCGGCCAGCTGTTCCCTGGCGGTGAGGCTACCTCCAATGAAAGCGCTATCATCACGTCGTAAGTGTTCCCTCCATCTCTGAGGCCACAACTGGGTCCCCATGCTCACGCCTGTGCGTCCAAGTGCGTGAGATCTCCCACAAACTTTACAAAGTGCTTGAATTCCGCAGATCGACCTAGGGGCCCCTTCACAAAATTCCAATTTCTGTCTACCTTTGGACCGGTGCTGTTGTCGGTTGGGCAAAGCTCGGTTATTATAATTTCAGTTGACAGGAGCCGTTGGCTATAATTTCGTTCCTCGACTGTTTTTGCCCCATTCTTGGTCATTTCTTGAACGCATATTCTCCCAGAGGGTATCCTCTATCTCGCAGATCTGGATACTCCAAGATGATTGGTCATTGTGGCCCTTATGTTAAATCGTCAAATTTGGCTGTATACGAGTTGCCTCGAGTAACGAACTTGCCATGAATGTGTTATTTTCGATTTTTCACACGTCGATATGTAATATCTTTGACCCCCTACATTTAGCCATTCTGGTTTAGTGAATTATCGGCTGCAGTTTGTTTAATTAATGATACAAAAGCGATCCTGTCTTGCTCTGTTCGTTCCCACAAGTACTCTCAGCTGAACCCATTCACCTGATGGTTATTGCGCAGCAGTACTTTTACGCTCATCCACCGTTTGTGGAGACCAAGTGCTCTTTCACTTGCCTGCCTGTGTTCTAAAGCGCAGTATGGAGTTTGGGTTGATTATATTTCAAATCTACAACTCTACAAACTCAATGAGACATTTCTAATTCTGAAAAGGGAGAAAGCGTCTCTTCTAGTTTAATGTCAATGTCGATGTTTAGACTTTGGTCCCTCTGCCCTTTTAACGTGTCACTTGCTTTAACGGAGTTCTTAACCTATAAAACATAAACTGCATGCCTGTTACTAGCGTAATTTCCACCGTTGTTTATCGATGACATTGAAAAAAAATGAATTTTGTGCTTGCCTCTAAAAGAATTTTGATCGAATGAGTGGCTACTCCTTTTTATATCGAAATTTAATCGTGATAAATTTACGAGACAACATGCTAACATGGGAGCATTTGTAAATATCGTACCAAAATTATTTTTGTTAGCTGCTAGAGAAATTCACTGCCTGTTTAAACCAAAATTTAAGTTAGCAAACTGCGCGTAATTGAGCCCTTGTGGTTGGATCGTTGTACGACTATGGTCACTCGTATTCTACCTTATTTTTTTGAACGAAATCAATGGCTTTTGCGTCCAAAAGCTCAGGTTCGACCTCGGCACTGCCAAAATGTTCCTTCGTCTTTAGCTGGTTGTCTTCTGCTTCGCCATTCCACCTGGCGTCAACTAAGTCTGGTGATTTCTAGTTAAATCGAACGACCACCGCCTGCCGACTTTATAGTATCAATTAGGGCTTCATTTCAACGAACTGATTTCCCCGCGTTTATTCCGCAGACCTCTTTATGATCTGACCATTGACGACACCCTGATGCACGCTCCCGGCGTGGTGAAAGCCCACGGGGCCATGATGGTGTTGGCGTGGGTGTTCTGCTCCTCAGTGGGCGTCATCATCTCGCGCTACTACAAGGACATGTGGCCCAACTCCGGCCTCCTTGGTGAGCGTGTCTGGTTCCAGGTACACCGCATCCTCATGGGCCTCTGTGTGGGTCTGACGTGCTTGGCGGTCATTCTCGCCTTCATCTTCTGCCAGGGCTACTCCAGACTGAGAATCTACCCCGACTACATCCACCCCATTCTGGGGCTAATTGTCCTCTGTCTAGCTGTTATAAACGTGAGTGAATATATTCTGCATTTTGTACAAAAAAACCTACTTGAGTGAACGGAACGCGAGTCCTCTGTTGTTAGGTGATGCGGCCGTGAAGGGTACGACGTTCACGATAGTTACAGAATCTTCCCATTGTCCTCATTGTCTACATGTATTGTCAGAATTATTGCTGTCTATGCTGTCGTCCCAAAATCTGTCGTCGTGTAACAGTTGTGGGTTCATCTGTTGTTCAAATTACACAGCTCGATTGTCTAAATTTTTGCCTATTTCGTCCAGGCCTTTTTAGCTTTTCCACGGGTTCGGTGTCCGTTGTTTAGGCGGTTATGTAGTGACTAGTTCGTTTACCATCTTTTTGTAAGTAAGGCATTGCAATTGTCTGGATCTCATGGTTAAGACTCTTGATTTATATTTACGTACATTGAATTTGTAACCTGTTTTGGTGGATCGAAAACAAGGTTTTTCTCAAAATTATAGCGTTAGTTAAACCCTGTGACACCGGCACTGGATGTAGTACTTGCTAGCTTCTAGCTTTTGGAACACCACCTTCAAAAGGCAGACAAATTTTGGGCCTAGCTCCTTGTAAGCCTGGTTTCTTCACCTTATCTAAATTACCCACACGAAATTGACGTTTGGGTAATTGAGTCATTTGATCAGCGAGTATTTCCAATTCATAATTTGCAATTGATCCGAATGCAAATAATCATCTCTTTATTGAGGGGCTGGTAGTTTGCAAATAACTTTCTGTGGTTAGACAATCTCCTCATTGACAGTGATTTTTGATTCACCCGACACTTTTGGTGGCATAAACTTGGTGCTCCAGATTGTTGGTATCGTAGCACCCGCTTGTTTTCCAGCCCTTCATAACCTTCTGTCGACCGCATCCGATGCACAAGAACCGCCCCTACTTCAACTGGACCCACTTCATCATCGGCACCCTGGCCCACGTGCTCTCCATCCCCACGATAATGCTCGGCCTTAGGATGCCCGCTGCGGGAGTTCAGCTTCGCAGCCTCAACTACCCCCTCTGGATCCTCATCTTCTTTGTCATCTTCCAGTTCTGCGTGGAACTCACCCTTGAAATCCACGGATGTCTTCATTACAGGCGCAATAAGCGTAAGTGCTTTTCATTCTTTGAGCTTATGTATGTTATTGTTCCATGGAATCCCTTCGAGGTACTAATGTCCGTGGTTGTTTATTTTTACAATTTCCCTATCTTCCTGTTTGCACATCTGGAATTCATGTCTTCAAATTTGCAATTCCTGTGGTCAAATTTACTGTTTTGCACCGTATTGGATTTTTCGACAGTTTTATGAACGTAAATTTTGTGGTAATTAACTTGAACAGTGCCCCGCTCTAGTGTTGGGTGTTTGTATGCTGGTCCAATTGCAGTCCTCATCCTTTCATGCCTGCCCAAGAATGACTGCCTGTTGATTCATAACTATTGGCTGTTTCAGACTCCAACCCTGCTCAACCCCCCCCCCCAACGAGTCATTGGGTACCTCACAAGATTCATTTGATTCGTCTATGTAAGTAGCACTTGGGCTTCAAGTAACGCCATCGATCAGGCTGGTAGAGATGGCGGCCTCCTCAAACTCAGAAGGCTGTTTGGTATTTAATATGTTTTTTGAAGTCCCAGTCACCGTGGTTATAGGGACAAGTTGTGGCAAGGGAAGCATCTCCCCGAAAACAGGTCCAAGAAATTTTCCTTGTGTCCTAGGCTCGAGTTATGTGCATGAGTGCACTTTCGAACATACAGTGCTGTTGGTTGCTTTTGTTCTTAACTTATTCAAATGTATTTTGTGGTAGCGTGCGTCTTGTCGCAAGCATTTATACTGTTACCTTTATGCGTCTAACCTGTTTCAAAAACGACTTGCGTTGCAACTGAAACACACACACACACCTGCCTGCCTTAAACTCTTCTCTGGTGCTCTAATTTATACGCGTGTAGGCTCGCATGGGAGTAATTCACGATTCTTGCTTCATGACTCACGCCCTGTGCGCAATCATGTGATTTTTGAACGTGCGGGACAAAACGGCTTCCCTCAGCGCCAATTGCGTTGTCCTTCTAACCTTCAAACGGCATTTATGTGAAAAGTACAGAGGATATCCAAGATCTGTGTCTGCTATCCCGCCGTTAATGAAATTACGAAAGGCAACAATCCAAACACTCGTTTTCTCTCCAGCACCAGGTGGCTAAGAGTCGAAGTGGTAACTTGTCGTTGCATGGACAAACGCCCTACCGCTCCTCACGCGACGTCAAAACAGCTGTGCACAACTGGGCAGAATATGTGACCCCCGCCGCAACCACTTCTGTGGCCCCACGTCACCACCCATCCCACCCCGAGTGTGCTCCACAGGTGGGCTTCGGCGCACTACTCGGCCGGCCACCGCCACTGCGGCCGTTCGCACGTCTGATTTGCGGCCAGGCGGTGTCGAATTTGCCAAATTTTGTTCATACCTTTTAGTTTGAGCAAGGTTAAGTGTCGTCAAATTCCAACCTGACCCAGCCACCATTTCGTTGAGGCTTGCCCCGCTGGGGAATTTCAGACGTGCTAATTTACAGGCAGTGTAACGTTTAGCCTTCGAGTACCCAATTGTGGGCTTTGTCGCCTTGTTTATTTCGTGGAGATGCAATGTAGTTGGTTTTGGTCTCACGCGAAATTCGTCTATTTTTCTTTAAATTACACCACTAAATACCGATAGTTTGTTTTGAAAATATCGCAACCCTAAGGTAAATTCTTGGTGTGGTTTTTATAAAAGAATCTCGTAAGTAATGTGATTCGTTGGTTCAGTTCACGAGCATCCATTGGGACACGGCGTTCTTAAGATCTCGAGTGTGAACTTTTGCTGGTAAAACTCCTTTTCACTCCACTTTCGTCGCTGTTTTCTGGCGGTTGTGGTGTTCACGGAATTGCCTTTTCGTTCCGTCACCACTTTACGGCTGAGTTTTTACCGTAACCTGATAACCGCACTTCCCATGTCGTCTTGCGGCGAAACACCTGTGGTGGCAGGTTTTAGCACTACTTTACAACCCTCTGGTTAACAGGCCGTAACAACCCGAGAATGGAGTGAAGAGAGGGGGACAGAGGACACGACCGTTTATTAGCTTCACGCCAGCCAAGTGTGTGTTAGTGTGTGGATGAATGTGAACAGGTGACATACATCTGATAACAGTAACCAATGGAAAGGGGATGAGTCATTGTCACCGTCAGGTCGATAAAGAGGATTCACTCAGGCGCGATCGCTGTTGATCCGCTGCACACCTCCCAGCATTGCATCGCGCCGTCATGATATCTCCTTTCCCACATCAGCCAACAGTGACTTGTTAATGCAAGTCATATCGAACGGGCAAATTCCAATTATGTATTGGTTTTTTTCAACTGAGTTTCGCGTACCTTACCAGCAGACAAGTGGGAAAGGGGTTTCTGGCTTTAATCACGCTTAACTCATGTGATTGCTCCTTGTAGAGAAAAAGCTGACCTACAGAAACGAAGTCGAGCAGTACCAGAACGCAGTTCGCGTGGGTGGCGTCCCCATCCCTCGGCCCGTGGAACCAGAACCGTCTGTAAGTCGCTCTACATTTAGTACCTGTGACTCATCGCTGCGATTGGCCAAACGGCTTGTGCACTTGCCACGTCCGGGCTAATTACCTCAGGGACTTGGGCTGTCCGTTGATCGCGGCCCTAACACCACCTGACTTGGACAAGGCCGTTCGATGTCAACGGTACACGCCCTTGGGGGTGCACGTCGTTCCACAAAAGTGCATCGTCAGGCCTCTGCGCCAGTTTCCCTGCACACCGACGTGAAGTGTGGTTTGTTTTCGCTGTCGATTTTCGTCGTGAGCCAAATCACCAGGACCACCTTGGCTTTCTTAATTGCACCAGAGACGTTGCGTTAGTTCTCGCGGTATTTTTGGTGGGGGGTGGACAATCTCAGAGGAACGCGTCTAGAGAGGTCGTTTTTCACCAGTCAACCGTGCGACGCATTTGGTAAACTTTACGAGGTGCACAATTCCTGCACTAACGAGCGCACTTTTCTCGTGTTTAAAGGGTCGCATTTTCAAGCACTTTATGATCAGCCTCCACGCCACAGTCGCGGCAATTGTCGCTGTTGTGCTGATAATCGTCATCGCCGTCAACTAACTGCGAGACGCACGCCGACGCGAGCTATCAATCTCCCTTCCGCCTGTCTTGTTCTCTGCATGAACAACGATGTCCTGCCTGCGTACCCCCACCCACCCCTCTATCTAGCTATTTTAACAAGCCGTTCATTCTCTTATTTTTTGTCCTAAGTTATCCTCCAACCACACTTACCTAACTAAAACATCTGAGTGCGTTCAGTCTTCCGTCTTTCCCTTCACACACTTCAACTAATTGCACCTTTAGCATAAACAGAACAACTGACTTCATATCGTACAAATTTATTTAAACCTTGTACTAATTTAATTTAAGTAGAGTTGAATCGGAGGTCCGTTCAGACGCATCAAGCGTGGTTACCTGGTAATTAGGTGTACTCGCACCGCCTTTGCGTGATTCCGCTCTTTGATCAGGCGTTCACGAGCTTCCACAAGACGACGCCACTGTGAAGAAAGTCGGTGCCGGGTAAAAAGCAGGCACCGGAGGGATAATTGGCCTGCTGCCGTGGACGCAACGTGCTTAAAAGGGTGCATTTGGATCAGTGAACTGAGTTCAACCAAACTGATCCGTAGGCGTTGAATGAGGTCTCCTAGGAGGACTTCTCCCGATGTAAGACGGGCCACGTGGACATCGATGTGCTGGGCCAGACGAAATGCATCGTTGGCGGGAACACTTGAGTTTGAAGTTGAACTGGTGTGCTTGCGTAGGAAGTTGATCAAGTTGGAGTAGAGATCGGACGAAGAGAGGAGTGCTTGCGGAAAGACGATGGAGTTTGACTTTCTAGAGCATGAATAAATAAACGCCGAATCAAGGTTTAACTAAAACTTAGGGGTTTGGCTAGAGTGGCGGAATCCCACCGTGGAAACAAAAACGACGCGAAAAGGGTGAACGTAGGAAGTGTAAGCTTACCTATCCAGTGGGAACAAAATTATGACGGGAATGTGCTCCACTGTCAGCGACCACGGGAGTTGCACAGAATCGACGTCGACACTACAAGGGCAAGCAAAACAAGGTCAGAATTTGAAATGTGCGTCTGTCAAACGTTGGTACTTCATTTGTGAAGAAAGTGAACAGATAGATAAAGCTGTTCTCTAATAGCGTGGAAAATAATTTGTGAATGTCTGTTTCGGCGGTAAATACGCTCAAACGCCATCAGTAGTATTGCTTATTGTTGCTTAAAAACAGAATATGTGCAAATGGGTGGACGATTATTGAGGAAATTTCCACGAATTGCCAATATTCCCAGATAACTTGGCAACTTGAGACGAACAAAACGTATGCCCATTCCATAGACTTAGCCGTCGCTGATAGGCCTCTGTTTCTCATTCTGACTTTACATTGACCAGACAGCAACAAATAATTTTTTGTTTGGTTTGCTAATATATGAACTGTTTTGAAGCAGTGACTGATCCAAAATACGTTTTTTAATTGCAGATTAAAATGTCAGAGCACGAATTCTGGACTATGTTCTTGAACAATCTAAGCCTGTACCAAAAGTGGCAAATCAATTGAAAGTGTGGCAGTGGCATCGTTGGCGTCTACAGTAAAGCCGCAATGTGAGTTCTGAGGGAGTCACAACTCGGTCAAGATGGGGCCAGTCTACTTACCGCGGGTACTGTGTGCGGTAGGTTAGACAACTGATGCGGATAATGAGGTCTCTGGAGTTCAGTTAACCATCACTATCATTTACAACTGTGTTTGGGATTGTTGACAAGCTCTACTTGGCCTGGTGCGCAGAGTTTTTAGGGTAAACTAATGCCGATTCAAAGGACCCGAATACTTACGTAACAAAGAGAAGGGACTGGTGGTTAACAAAGTGCCTGGCTACCGATCGAAATTCGTAAAGAGCGCCTCGACCGTGAGTTGTGTAGCCACAGTGACGACCAAAAAACAGGACAACCACATGTTTGTTTGCGAGGCCAATCAGTGATTCGAGTTCAGTGGCATTGTGGGCTTCGTGTAAGAGGTTGTCTTGTTGAAGAATTTTCTTTCTTGAAAACAAATGACGCTCGAGAGTGCCATTATGAAACTTCCCGATGAAAGCTGCTACAAAACCATAAAAAAGGTGCTACACCAGATGAGTATGGCTGTCCGAACTGGAATTTCGCAGGGCGATGCCCAAAAATTAATGAGTCCAGTTGTCTATCGTGTGACCCATGATGCAAAGCAATGCAAACCACGGTTTCTTACCCAGATTTGCATAGGATAAGTCCTCCTTCATTGTAAAAACGGCCTCTGCCTAAAATTAAAAAAACAACTAAGCTTAAACCTTATCAGTTTGCTTGAGCGACCAACATAGTATCTAAGCTCTACTTCTTTTGTTCTATCTCCTCTGTCATGTACTTACAAGTGTTGATGTAACAAAATCAATGGCAAAGATCCGAAAATAGAGCGTATGTGTAGGTTAAGAGAGGGTTTCGAATTTCGGACCGACCTTTGAGTCAATAATGGAGATCGCCGGTAGATTTCCTTCGTCCCCGATCAGAACATTCACCCACGGCGGTGGATTACGGGCGGATACTGTGACGAATGTAAGGGAATCGTTACCCCATCTTCTGCAACCCAGACCATCGATGCTTGGGGCCTTTACATGAGTGTAATTTTTAAGTTCATCCTGTGGACAAATTCTACCATGCTCTAGTTCCGTTTGGCCTTTTAGCAATGCAAGTGCATGCGCTCGAACTTTCGACGTAGAGAAAACCCCAACTTGATTCGTCGCCTCCTGAACTGCAAACTCGCAGCAACGACGATTAATTTTACTCACAAGAAAAAGACCATCAATGCCTTTATAAGGGACTGGGGATTCATTGGGCTTTCGCTCATCATTTAACAAATGTGCCGCCAGGTCAATGAAATCTAAAGGAAAAAAAGATACCATTAGCAAGTCGTACATTATAGCCTGTCTAATAAAATCGTCCAATTGCACACCGTTTCTGGAAGGGTGATCCCACAGGCTTGATGTTAATACCTGGGAAACTGGAATGAATGTTTGATTGCTAGGAAGGCTTGAAACCGACTTATCAAGACCGCAGGACAACCAAGAATCGAGATATGAGCGTGGGGAGTACGCAGACGTTTTACGCCACCAAATGGGGCACACAACTGCTGTTTGGCAGCGTTGTAATAACTTCGATAGCGCCCCACTAAATAGATGGTAACGCTGAGAATCAGCATTGGGGAAGACGTTTTCAGTTGGCTTGTCATTTACATCTTCATGTGGACAAATAGTGTAGGATATTTGCAGAGAGTTAAACTAAAAAAATATGGGCATTTTAACCATTGCGAGTAAGTGTAGAGAAATCGCGTCTTTAAGTGAATATATACCATGTAAACATCGGGTAAATGCGAAATATCCAGGTCATTGTGTGAATCCGTGGAAAGTAACAGAAGGGGACTGTGCTCGGATATATTATAGGGAAGAGGAAAGGCCGTTGAAAGGTGAGGAAGGATTAGGAGGTTAGATCCTTTGTAGGCACTAGACATTTTTTCAATTTCACTGAAAACTGTTTGCATTAAATTCCTCACTGACCATTCTTCAGAATATCGATAATCGTATAGGGGTTTCGCCTGAAAATCATGAGTTAGTAAATCAAAATAATTCGGAGAAGCATTCTTACTACTTTGCCCGAACGGAAAAGAATGTTTATTGGCACGGAAGTTTCTAATGAGCACACATCAGCATTTGATGGCATTATGGCGAAGGCAATATCGGTACTAGGCTCGAGCATGAAATGTGGATGAACCGGAATATGATACGCCGACATCATACGTGTAGCTAGTTCGGAGAACTGCAAAAACGATGATGAAGGGTGCGGAGAAGCATCAATTCTTCCCAAAATCGTGAACTAAAGAAATTGGTAAGATAGCTACTTAAAATTCACTCGAAGTAACTAATGTCAATTCTACAAAGCACTTACTTCGTAATTTGAAACAACAATCGATAGCTCAGAGCAATTGCCAACCGGTATAATAGGATCATATATACGTTTTGCTTTGCGCACAATTGACGGAAAGCGTTCAAATGCCCGAACACCACTGGCACCGTATGCATGTCCCCACACAAGCTTAGGAAAACTATTTGATGGGAATGCGGTTACACATGGTCCTCTCCAACAGCTGATTGCCAGAGCCGGCAACTAAAGCAAAGTTTAGAAAGGCAATCGATGGTACAAAGCCAAAAGTCGAACTCAAAAAAAGTTCAATATCCTCAGTGTGGCGTAGAGAATCAGCGTCCCATGGCGCATATAGATAGGTCAAAGAGTTGCTCCTTAGCATCAATAAAGCATCCTGTGGAACACCACTTCTGCTGACCTTATTAAACACCAAGGAATTATTAAATATAGGAAGCTCGGAGACAACAAGAGAGCGGGATTTAGATAAATTTCTAAGCAAATAAAAAAATTATCCAACAATCACCTACGGGATATGAAAAGACCATAGAAATATGACAGCAAAAAGGAATGTCACAGCATCCATAGTGGTAAAAAAACGTTTTAAGTAACGTTTGAATCTGACTAGGGTTGGGATTTGAGCTTCTGGCATACTGAGGCCCTAGAATACATTCCAGCAAACACAGCGCTAAACAACGCGCTACGAAAAGAGACCAATAGAGTGTTAACATGTAATGACCTTAAATTAGAAAAAGTTTTTCTGTAAAAATTTGTTAAAAACGAGATAAGTTCTTTAATTTGACATATACTCACTTTGATATTTAAACATTGAAAGGATTTTAATGGAGTGCATCAACTGGTTATAAGTAATCTAAGTGAGATACTGCAAGATAATTATTGTTTTTTATGCTATTATACATCAAGCATCTAAAGAACTAGGTCACCATTCACAAATGAATGTTACCACAATAATGCCAGCATTTACAAAACCATGACCAAATCAACGAATTAAGCAGGTAAATACATAAATTGTACTCAACAGCAATAGAAAACTTCACGAAAACCACAGTTTCAATAGTTTAAACTCTGACAATCACTACGCTATAATTTTTCTTCGCTGTGTGCGTTTAACTCCGGTCTTCGAATTCGCCTTTAGGGTAAGTCATTCTTTGACTCTAGTGTCAATGCCATAATAAAGCACAACACCCTTGCCCAATGAATCGATTTCACGAAAATATTTTATGTTGTTGCAGTTTAATGCATCCAAACGTCAACGCTAACGTGGAAGTAACCACGTTGTTTGATTACTCACGATGCTGTCTTAGACATATTATTTGCGTATTGCTTAATCTATGCAATCTAGTGGTAAAAAGCATTCTATTGAGAGTCAAACTGAATTACACATAAAGAATCAAGCAAATTCTCCGTCTTGGAATTCTGTTTTTACGTTTCTAATGTATTTTAACCCCACAAATCTTTGTCTGTTTTCCGGTGCAATGAATGTCCCAACCTTTTTTATCTGCAAATTTATACGTCAGTGTCGTAAGTTTAATTCCATTGAATTATATAATTAAGGAATTCTTACACATAAGACTTTGTTTACTTTGAATTCTTCATTATTTGTATGTGTTTTTGTGTGGATTTGTTTCGACTTTTATTTGTATTTAAAGTTAGACACGAAATATTTAATGGTCTTACATTTCCAGCAGCTAAAAAGGTTAGCACATTACTGCAAGTAGTTAATTTTTGCTCATTCCCTCTTATCCTCTTGTTTCAACTTGAATCTGCTTCCAGGTATAGGTCTCTAACTGGTCCAAAACTGCCGGTAGTGAACTTTAAAAACTTGTTGTAGCGTAATTTTACTTCATAAATGCTTGATAAAAATCTTTTGCAATTTTAGTAAATGTAATAAAAACCTTTATTATTTTAATCTACAAAGTCATGCGCGTTCATATTAACCAATTCGCCGGGACAAATAAGGCTTTGCTAATGCTTTCTGACCCTGTGTAAAATATGATTGTATTAAAAGCGACATAAAACGTTTGTTCGTTAATCGTATTTTGGCTTTTTAATATACCACCTTTGACGTTTATGTCATAGACCTGGGTTTTTCTCGGCCATCGTATACTCGTTAGGCCAAAAATGCGCATCGCCTGTTTTTTAATCGGAATTATTCATTGTCGATATAACCAACGTACAAATTGTCGATCGCCTTTTTTGTAAGCGTGCTGAGCCTAAGTTAATAATCAATCACTTTGACCAGCTTTGTCTTTTTGTCATGGGCTTTTCTTAAACACCACACCTCCGGTTACTGTAGTTTTATCCTGTCCAAATTAACTTGCAAAAAAATCATGATTTGCTTTCTTTAATCATTACTCGACGAAATTAGTGCTACGTGTCCATATGAAAGTTTTTAAGTACTTTTAATAAAAACAGTATATTATAGAGCTAATTGACTATCTGTGTTTATATTGCACGGTCATTGAGAATTGCAGCCGTTATCTGTAACTGTCTTGTAACCTCTTCATGGCTATTAGAATACTGCATTGTTGAAACCCGTTTGTTGTGGCTCGGAGTCTAATACTCAATCCATAGACCATATAAAGGATCACATGATGAGTTGGGTATTTCTGTTTATTTGTCCGTGAAGCTTTTACCTACGAATGATGTTGACATTTTCCAATCCGAAAAATCTACACAGCTGTGCATGATCAGGCGTGTCTGTGTTAACATTTGGGTAAATAGAAAAGTGGGTAAACCGATAACTGGGTGTTATGGAATTCACCTCGTACACAGCCGATAAAGTACGCTATTTGGAGATGATCATTCGCTTTGAAACGTAAGAAAGTGAATTCGGTTAGATGGTTAGCCGATTAAAGCAGGAGCTAAACACGCATCCTTTCAGTGGCACTGCCTGTTTAGCCCTCAAAGGAGTTGACTTAAAATTGCTTATCTAACTTTAACATAACTAAAACATGCTTAGGCAGCTTCACAAACGTGGTTTGTTCAGCTTGGCAACTTAATTTCAAACACATATTAATACGCTCTTTGATATATGAGCTTGATCCTCCGCTAATTACAATTTAATTGCTTGTTAGTTCCTCTCTGATGTCCAATATTTACATTCAGTAACTTAGAAGAATGAGTGACAGCAAGTCATTCCAGTCTTACCCGGCAAGCATTTTCTCCGACGAAAGTGACCTCGCGTCTGATATAGAAGCAGATTTACAGGAACTTCCAGCTGAGACTGATTCACAATCTTGCGCCGCTTTCTCCTCAGATGTGGCCTCTCTTGGCAGTTTTGCTTCGCCGTTCACCGGTAGTCTTTCGTCGGTAAATGAAATTCCTAGAGGCCAACGGTTTGTCGATGAGCAACCCATCTACCTTCGTACGGCTTCATTAAAAGGCATTTTCACAAGCCTACTTAACTCACAGCTGAAAGAAAATTGCGGCTCGCCCAGTTGTATAGTAAGATGAGCCTTCTTGAATCGTTTATTAGCTATGTCCGTTTGCTGATTGGTATTTCTTTCTCGATTAGTCTTACCAGGGTTTCATCGTGGTCGGAACTAACAACGGATTTATTTTTGTTTTCGGTGCGTTTCCAGTTTTAATCGAACTTTTTTAGATACTTACATTGCAACAAAAATGTTGTATCGTATTGTCTTTGGTCAAGTTGAACTCTGAGTAATGCAAAATGCATACAAAATGCATTTATTTTTGCACCCTTTTAACTTTAATTAGTTAAATCACAGTTGTTAATGTTCTTTATTATTTATAATTGGGAAAGTCGGTGTTGAGTTATTTAGAATTAATTGACTTGCTTTCCGTTTTGGCTAGTACTATTGGATTCTCACCTATTAGTTTCGTATTAAAATAAACCATTAATACTGACATTTATGAATTTGAGCATTGGGGCGTGCAATATTAGGTGTCGTAGTAGTCGTCAGTTTTATTTCTTAAGAGATGATATCTTTGCCAATGATGAAACGCTTCTTTCAAAGGAGTTGCTGACTTTGACCAGCAATAAACTTGTAGGTTCCCTGTCGGCCCACTAGGGGTCATCATGTGTCATCTTTCATGCGCAACGATCTTCATTAACTAAAGATTGAGTAAACAATGGGCACGCTGAAATGTCACTTGGCCGTCGCAAAATTACTCACCCTACATCAAGACATTGGTTTTCACGAAGAGTATGTCGATGTCCATTGTTTGTTGCTTGATTTATTTGACCGTGTTTGTCATGTCCGTCTTCAGCTGTACGACATGACTGAATGCCCATGGTTTGGTCCGGTCTTATTACATTTTAATAAATGCCACACCTTTTAGTGATCGCGATTTTTGATAATGTTGTTCTGCCTTTTTCACCACCCTAATTCCGTTCTGGTCACTGCCGGTGGCCAGTGGTCGTTCAAACTCAATTGCGTGAACTGTAGAGAACACTGGCTGCTGGTAACCAATAATTTCTGCGTCTGTTAATTCTAAAGCACATGCCTTTGAGCCGCTCTTTTTTACTTTCGTGCCTCTAACTCTCTCCTACTTCCCTCGTCCGAAACAGACCGGTGTCAAGAGGTTAGACTTTGTCTTGACACAACAAAAACGGAAGTGGGTTCCGGACAGGGTCCTATAACTTCGCTGAGTCAAAATCTCCCGAGCAGCCGCCTGCTTAGCGGCTTTGCCAGTGGTCGGATTGCCATGTGGCAGATGCCCGAAACAGACCGGGGTGAACCTCTATGCGGCGACGCAGAAGACGACGACACGTCGACAGTCAGCTCCTCAACCATCAAAAAGGGCGTGAAGAAGGCAGCCGGCAGTCTGCTGAGGATTATTAATGACGCCCATCAAGACATGCAGTCGATAATTGTATGCGCCTTCACGTCTTTGCCCACCGTGGCTGTGTCTGTTGATAGTGGTGGTTCCGTGTTTGAGATGGACTTTAGGTAGGTCTCGTTTGTCAACCTTTTTCCGCAGAAACAGTCAGTGTTCTACTGTCTTTTTTTATATTTTAGACGAGGTCTTCTTGGTCGAAGCACCCAGTCTGTCTGTTTCTTTTCCGGAAGGTAGTCTGTCCACTTTTGTACTTTGACCGTGTAATTTTAACGTCCATTTTCCCTTCACGTTGGCTTGTAAAAAAGCCCCATTCGAAATGGTTCCAGTTAAAAGCGTAAAACGACCTGATGCACTGAGGTAGCCTGTCCATTTTTCCTTCTTCCATCTTATTTCTGTTACTATAGGGAGGTACGGTGAAGTCCGGTTGTTGTCGAGGCTGATTATTCAGCCTTCACCCTACAAATATTAATTTTTTGCAGTAAACACATAACTGGATAGTTTGGTTGGTGTTCGCATTATCATATCAAAGACACCATTCTTTGTCTTTTTGACAATTTTTCCGATACCACAGTTTGGGAAAAATTTATCAACTATTCTTATTCGGTGACACCAGGACGGCAAACTTTAAAAAGAATCACACATAGTGTGGGATTCGTACTTTAAGACTAGCGCCAACTTAAAATGTTTCAAGCCTAACCAATTTAGCTTGGTTGTATTCGCCCACAACTAAACCAGCCACTCAGTTTGAGACTGTCTCAATTGGATACTCCTGTCCTTTAATAAATTTAGCCACGGTGAAATATGCGCAATGTCTCCACTTCGCCCAGCACACTCCACCGGCCTACTACAGAGCATTCAAGGCCACTCCTCTTTTCGCGCTCTCTTTGGCTCGGCCATGGTTGCTATGGCCTCATTCACCAAGGTCATTGTCGTTATGCTGAAACCCAAGTTTCGTGTTGTCTTTTGGCAGTACCTCAAGGTATGCTCTTCAGCTTTTTCTACTGACTTTGATGACCTTTCACCTTCATGTATTACTCCAAGTTGAATGAGGAGCCAATTTTCGCTTTGTGAGCCATGCTGTGTCAGAAGTAACTATTAGCTGTGGACACTTTTCACCTGAGATAAAGGTAACAGTGTTGCATTTCAGAGGTGTTCTTTCAAGTACAGCGGTGTTCCACGTTTAAGAGCTTTCAAATGCTAGATGCATGAGCTCACAAAACTTCAGTGACCCACATTGGTGCAACTCCACTCACCAGGCCTTAATGTGAAGTTTTGTGTTCGCAACCGGCTAAAAATCTACCAATGCATTTTTCCCAAGAAAACACCACTCATAGAATTGAGTGTATTTTGAATCATTTCTCCTCTGGTAATTTGTCCTAAACTTCTAATTTTCACAAGCTGCCGTTTTCGTCGTGCTTGGTTTTCAAGGTTTCTGCTAATGGAAATGGCACCACTAGTTGAATAGGTGCCTAACGCGTGGCGTTTAACAACACGCAGGTTTTAGTAATGCCTTGACTACGGTGGGTCACATCGTGTAAATATTCAGATTTGAGTGGTGAGTGGTTTCGGCTGGTTATTTAGCACATTCTTTCGGAAATTTGCACAATTTAAGGCATGGTTCGTAGGGTTAGCCATTTCTTTACTAAATGAAGTCTTTAAAAGAAAAAAAGATTCTGTCTCCTTAGAGGCGGGGTACAAAAAGAACTGTTACTGCGGAATTGTCTGTATAACTTCGATAATTTTTTTATTCACGCTTTTGATCCTGTATATTTCTCTAAAGGGAACGTTCAACCTATAAAACTACCTCTAAGTAAATTAAGTTGTTGTACAATAGGTGGTTTTCTGCCCAATCTACGACAACGCCGCTTTGTAAATGCAAAACGAGGCTTGTCGCATAACAAGTCTTAATACTTTAAACCTCTCGCCTAAGTAAAACGTGCATAGGTCAAGCAGTTTGCTGGAACTTGTCCCATTTAGTGGAAACTCGGATTTTTATGTAAACGCCGATAAGCTTCGGTGGTGTGACAGGCGAACTGTCATCATTATAGGCGATACCACGCTGTGGCGTTCCCCCTAACGATGCCGTATCCTCGAAAAAACTACCATTCAGTGGTCACTTTGGCTGGGTGACACACGGTTACCCATTTGTCCCGCCCACCATAGTTATTGTAGTTTGCAAAAGTTCAGACAATTGGTTGTGTCAGGCACAATTGGTCACAACCCCTTCCAAGCCCTTTCGCATGTTGCAGGGCCAGCCCTCCTGCCTCCCTCTGCTGTCCTGGTCTTGGCACCAGCCAGCAGGGTCGCCGGACGACGCGTCGGCGGAGTGCTGTGCCTTCCTTGGATTCGCGCGGTCCTCCAGCCTCCACATTGCCCGCATCACCACGCGCGCGGTGGACCACTCTCGCGCCGTGATCTCCCCCAAAAGCAGCATTTTTAGTCTTAACGGCAAACAGTTTGTTTTCCTTTTCGACGTCCTTCGCACCATCTCCCTCGACCATCGGTTTGTCTCGCTTCATGTAAATGCCCTTTAAGATAATTCCTCACATCGCGCCAAACGTCATTCGGCCACAAGGCTCACCTCTCTCCTCTAACGTTTAAAACGAACTAGGCAATTATTTGAGAGTCTCGACTTACACTGTTTGCATGTTGAATTCTCTTTTTCTATGCCACTTCTGCTTTTGTGTGCCAGCGTGCTTTGCTGTCCTTTCACACTAACCCCATCCTCATTTCAGTCGGATTTGGAAAGATCGGGAGGGCAAATGTTAACCCCCCGCTCCCCCGATAAATCTTATGCGAGGAGGGAAGCTTAAAAATCGGACGTAGCAAGGATATCTTGCTATGGCTGCACCTATTCGTAAAAATCTAGCATGCTGTTTATTTATGTGCTTAATGCCTCTAGACACGGTTAGTCATGCGACGTTGTCATCCACATTCCAATTAATTCATCACGGGTCTCGATATAAATGGCATAAGCAATTTACTTTGCCTAGTATTTTTTTGGTTTTCCAGGTTTTTAGTCTGGATTACATTGCTGTTCTGGATTCAGAGGAAATCCTCCGTTTGATCGATCTCTCGACAGAACAGGAGGTAGAGTCGTTCAATATGACAAGTACACAAATCTGCTATAACTCGAGTGCATTTAAGGCCTTGGCTATTGGCGGTGCTGTCAGTGAAGCCCTGGTATGTTCTCAGTTTTCTCAGCCATATTCGTTTATATTCCTGTCGCTTGGTGAACGTACATGCACAGAACCAATGGAAAACTAGTGGTAATCTTTATGTCCTCTAAAGTTCAAGACAGTTTCTAGTGGAAACGTTTACGTCGTTGGCTCAACTACCACGTTGTGAGTGGCGTTTACGTTTAATGTTTATTGGCATAGTATTTTGTGAAGCCAATCGCCCATCTTGTTGACGAGAACTTGCATTTCGATGCAACTTATGGTTTCGCACCACCCATGATGAGTGCTAGTTGTTTGGTCCCTGTAGAACTAGGCTGAACTGGTCTGGTTAAATTATCTTACCACTGACGTTTTCAGCAAATTTTGTAGCGTCTAAACCAACACAGTGTTGACACGTTCATCCACCGTAGACATTCGTTTTGTTTGAAATTCCACTTCTTCGTCGCACAACAAGTCACAGGAAGTCAACTACAGTATCAACGCGCACGCTCCTTGTGTAGTGTAGGTGACAGTTTCTAAGGCTCGGCATATTGTTGGACTACTTTGTTTTCCGATGGGAACCTGCACTCAGAATTCGAATCCTAGAGAAATTTGGGTTGGATTTTGTCATTGCTTTTTTAGGCTTGTGCTAGTGAACGTGCTTGTGCGAACTCGGTTGCCTCAGCATCTGGAAAACTCTTGATTCTTGGCAAAAATGGAATTTCATTAATCGCACTCAAGTCGTGGAAGGAGGTTAGCGCGTCCGCACATTGTCCATCATAATCCTCACCCATGCATTCTTTTTTTCGACATCGACTTTATTTTGATTATCCTTCAGCGTGCAACGAGCCTCTTCAATGCTGGTCGCTTAGAAGAGGCCTTGGCGTGTTGTCGTCAGGTGGTTAAAGACTCCACCATGACCCCACAGCTTCGGCAATCTCTCCTTGAAGTTCTCAATGAAATGCCACTTGCGGACGCCAAACTTCGTCCCACTCCAGCGTCCGTTTCAAACCTTGTTGAGATCTGTGTTGTTGCGAATTTGGTGTGAGTCATGCAGTGTAATTTAGTGTTGTCTTCACTGAACAGTAATCTGAAGGAATGTTTTTTTTGCGCAGCGATTTCCTCCAATCATCTGTGATACCTGCTTACCGGCAAGATAAGTTGACATTCCCACTTATACTTCGGTGCCTCTGCACCCGCCTTCTCCAGCTAAAGCCTATTTACGAGGTTCCTGATGACGATTTTTGCCTTCGTCAACTGGCCCCCGACATCGTTATGGAGATCCTAGTCTGGAGCGTCCACGGTCCGAGTACCTCTCTGCCGTCTCCTTCAACGACCTCCAGTTTGGTCTCACCCAGCCCCACTGATGTGAGCCGAGTGCAACAACCAAGGTGTAAAAATGGTCGTCAGTTAGCTGAATCATGTCTCGTTCGCTTCTCTCCTGCGAGTCTCGACATCGACAAGGTAAGATATTCTCTCAATTTCTCCTGACATCTCTTTACCGTGTGGAGGTTGGTAGCTGCTAATGCAGACCGGAATTCCACCCCTTTGCTGTTTCATACTCATCTGCCTTGCTTGACGGATTAAAAACCCACGTGCATAGGATCGAATACGATGTCCACCACAAGATTAATCGGTGAAGACCTGTTTTGTGGTGTTTGACATCGGTTTTTATTGAACATTTGTCTATTCACAGATCATCATGTCTATTTATTGTGTTGGTGCAAAGGATGTCATTTTCACGAAACAGTATTTTTTAATCATGGCTTAATTATAAATTAATATCGTGTAAGTGGGCATTACTCTCACATCGACTGTAGCAACTGCGCGAGTCACCTGATCGCTCTGCTAGAACGCATTTCTTTCAATCGTTAGGTCGTCTTTTTAATCTTTTGTTGCACCACCAAGTCCTCTCGTTTCCCTCCATGTAGGTTGTTAAATTCTGCCTCAGCAATGGCTTGTATCAGGGTTTTGCCTACGTCTACTCCTACGTGCTACAAGACCACGAGGCGGCATTCCGACGGCTGACGGATCTCCTGCTAAAAAGCGCTTCTGTCAGTCGACCCTCCCACGGCGCTCAATCGCCATCACCTGTTCATTCAGCTGGTAAAAGCACCTCGTTTTTTTTACATTTCGTTTACTTTTCGTGGAAAAACTAGCCATGGTTGCTTTCTTTGCTTGGCTGGGCGAGTAAATGGTGAAACCCGGAAGTCCATCACGGTCAACACTAATTAACTCTCGCAGAAAGTGAACGAGTAATTACTGTATCAGCTATGGTAAATGGTACATTTGCCAATGCATTGCACCTTTATTCTGTTGTGGGCCCCCAGCATGTGGTCTTGAACCACGCCGGGGCCACGGAATTAACTCTGGCCCGATTACGCTTGCCTGATACCCGCGATGAAGGAAAAGGCCGGAGAGGACGGACACAAGCGTCTACTTCAGGGGTCAACCACGTCGGTGTCGTTGTGTCGTGTGTGGGATTTGCGGGTGTGTATTTATAGCTCGGATGTGTAAGTGCTAACATCGAGACCTATGTGTGGGGACACTCCAAGATAAATATTCGGGCTAATGAAGGGGGAGTTGAGGCTTCACGCTGCTGGCGACATTCTGCGACAAGGGGAACCCTGTGTAGGAGGTGGAGCGACCGAATTAGGGGATTGAATAAACAGGATTCACGACAATTCTAATCATAGTATTACTTTAGATGCTTTAAGCCAAGATATTTTGTTGGTATTTTTAGGAAAAAAATCCTTTTTAGTGTTAACACTTCCTTGTATTTGTACATTCACATCCACAAATCAGGTTAATTAGCACATTTGCGCACTCGATGATGCTATTAGAGGATGGCACTGGCGTCGCTACTTTGCCTAAATTACCCACGCCCAAAGTGAGAAATCATATGTCTTTGTTTACACAGCATCTTCGGATTCGTTAGAGAAACCCGATCCTCGAGAAGCAGTTAATGCAATTCTGCTCTTTTTGAAATCGTGCTTTGTCGGAGAGGAGGTCTACGGACTTCCACTTGCCGAACATTTCCACGAAGACGTACCCAGCAAAGTATGTATTTAGTCTTTACCTCGTCCAACTGGCGTTGGTGTTATTTTGGACACGGTTGCTGCAAGCCATTAACATTTGTGTTTCACGTAAACATGCTCCACTTATAATATGTTCATTGTAGACGTCGGGTTATTTATAAGCTCATGTTTGCTTTCATTTTCAGCTATTCAACCTCCTCCTCTCGTCGCAGGTGCTTTCTCCTGAACATCAACGAAAGCCACTCTTTTCACAGCCCACATCCTCTGCTCGCTCTGTCCCTCGCCTTCGTGTGTTGTTGCACTTCGGCGGCACAGTGGATCTACTCAATATGCTGACCTTGGCCCTCCAAGAAAGCCCCTTCTTCTCCTTCAAACTGTCCTCTACGGGCCTGTGGTCAGTCAGTCGATTCCCTTCATACAACTGGTATCGTGAAGTGGTACTTTGTACTAATGGACGTCCTTGTACGCATTTTAGTTGTCAGCGTCGGCAGCGCTTGCTCAACGCTCTTGCATTGTGTGCTCTCGATGAGACCTCTGAGGCTCCACTGTCAATCGATGCTGACGACGTTGCGCGTCTCTTGTGCTTCATCGGAAAGCAGCTCCTACTTCCCGAAAACGACTCGCTCGTTTTTGACAATCAGAAAATACTCAGTGTAAGGGCGTGCAGAGTGTAGACACTGGCGTGGATTTACCCTCTGAAAAGTCGAAACCCTATCACTTCGGCTACAGTGGTGCAAAATTTATTATTTTTTTCTAAGTCGGCGAAAAAACGTTCCTCCCAGTATCTTTACTACTTGAGTCGCTAAAACCTTGCACTGCGGACAAGTTATCAATCTTTACTTGAAATTTAGGAATTTTCTATTTATTAATGTCACCATGATTATGGTTTAACCTGGAAAATGACGATCACTAGTAAGAGTCCAGTAAGTTATGCAATATTTGTCCTTAGAGATGAGCGTTTATGATGCAAATTGCAGCCTAGTTTCTTATCCACAAACATTTCTTGATCAATCTCTCAGTCTTGTACTTTGAGCTAATTGTAGATTTCCTTTAAGTCTACCACATATCAAATTATCGGCTGAACATATTAGAATCGAGTCTCATGTCTTGTCGCTATGCAGCAATGTCGATAAATTAGCTGGGTGTAAATAACAGTGAAGGCTTAGAGTCTAGCAGACAACCCGCCCCCTGGAAAGAAGAACAAGGAGATCCGGAAAGTAAACACGTGTGAGTGTTATCCTAAACATGAAATATCGTGAAAATAAACAGCGTAAACAGTAAATGTACACATTAACCTAGATACTTGATGCTAGTGGGTAAACTGAGCTGCCTTTGTATTCATCAATGCTGTAGATTTTGGACCGCCTTGTCAAACTGATTAGTGCTGGTGATCACACCCAATTACCCACAACAGAACTTTCTGATGTCCTCTTCCGACTTCTCTCTGCTGGTCGTTTGGCGGCTTCCGCAGAGATGCTCAAGGTGGCCGAAAACATTGGGTTGTAAGTATTTCTCCTTTTCAAGCCGCCTTGTGTGATTTCGCTTGTCCCGGACTTTTATTTGTTGGTGACTTCGTCAAAGCAGGTTAACTTTTAATATGTTTGGTGCAAATTCTTTGCTTATGCACATCAGACTGACTTTTCTCATAGCCTATTGGGTTGCTGCGGTTTTCCTTGCCGTTGAATCCTTCTGAACCCCATGTGCAATCATTTTCCTGTAATGAGATCGACAGTAGAAACATAACTGGGCATACGGAGGGCCTGATGTGACATTGTAGAGTCGGTAATCAAAAGTAAATACCTATGTGTTATATTAATGTATTGCGTTCCTGTTTAGCCGATGACCTGCTTAAGTGAGCTTGAACTTTTGTTTTTGCGGTTGGCCCTCTTGTCGCCATGTGACCTTTTATCTATCTCGAATTCAGCGTGCTTTCCGTGAATAAATTTCGAACGGCTGAATTTGTCGTTCTGAAGGGCTGTTTGTCAAAGGAGCCAAAATTTGACAAGGGTTGACATAAGGAGTTGAGATGTTGCAACAATGTGACAGGTAGACCAGTTAAGCACTTGAAACCAACTTTACCCTCTCTCTCTCTCTCGTGTCCGCCTTTGTATTTGGTTTGGGTTATAACTCGATCTTCATGAGCCATCTGCTGGCCAGCCTTAATCCTCTTGCCTCACTCTTAACCATATTAGATCAGTTTTTCGTGATCGACACTTGTTATCGTAGAGTCAGAGGTGTTTTTATAACCTGAAGTCTATTGAAGGTGTAAGGAGTCGTATTTTTCCCCAAGTTTTTGGTACTTTCTGCCTTCAGGAATGATTTCTGCGAATTAGTTTACCGACGACAGGGAAACCTCGGGGCGGTTCTCTCCTGTCTCCTGTCCAGCATACAACGAACGGCGTCAGCTCAACCGGTACGCAACACCGCCCACCTTTGTGATCTCGTGACCCGTGTTTACGTCTTCCTCAGTGGCTGTTTGAACTCGCCGACAGAGACTGGTGCCAATTTCGCGCCCCTAGTAAATCGGTTTCTAGAATTTGTTGAAGTAAGTACCAATTCACTTTCAAAAGTTGTTTGTGCGTCATTTTTGCACACGGCTTTAGCGCTCCTCGAAGAAGGCTGACAAAGTAGTTGGGGGATGTTATGAATGATGTGCCTTCCCAAGACTTGCCCCCTTTTATGACACATCTTTGGCTTCAGAATCGCCGTTCTCAGTGTAGTTGGTTGCTGTTGTATCGAAAACTGCACAACTTCCACAAGGTAGCAAGCTAGCCGTCCGTGCAGATGGGTGTTCGACGTTTTATTCGCAATAAATCCAACATCCAGTGACGCATGAGATTTGTGACAAGCCACTGACTCACAGCTGCTGTGTTGCCTGACCTTTGAATTAGCAAAAAGTTGTGCCAACTTCGGTGCACAGGCTGTCGTTGCTTTCAATTTCATCGGATTCAACACCGATTGTATCGCTAGGTATGTTTTAGCACCGATAAGCTAACTTGTTTTAGTTGCGTTTGACTGTTTCAGATGTACGCTACTTTGGACCCACTGCGATGTTTGATCCTCCTGATGCATGGCATTGGTCCCTCAATGCGTCGTATCCTCTGCGCACTGGATACCTTCTTTATGAGTGATGAACCTCTACCTCCGAATCTGCTAGCGCAAAATTCACACCACAGCTACAACGACGACACATGTCTTTCGCCTGATGGACCCCATCACCCGGCTGCAATTATTATCCTAGAACCGTTTTACGAATTATTGTGAGTTGGTGTTTATCAAGTCGGTTGTCTAGGCTTACCACGGTATTTGTTATCCATTCACATCGTAATCACAAAATATATCGGTGTGAAGCAACGAATCCCGATGTTCTTGTGTGACCAATCAAATTGATTAAATATCGTCTAGCAAGATTGTTTCCACATGCCGTTGAATTCGACGATTCCAATTCGGAGTCCCTAATTGTTTCGATGTGACGTTTTAGGGGGGCTACTCTAATTTGACTCTGAGGTTGTCCGTTTAAATCAGGATTACGCCGTATTACTTAAAAGTAGGTGCCGTAATTGTTGCTGAGCCACAAAACTTCCCATTACTCTTCACCTTATCTGCCACGAACACGGATTGAATGCAATTACGTGTCCGTCTTCTTTTGTAGACACTCTGACATGCCTGATCTCGAGCTCGAGAATGCTATTTCTACAGTCGAAGGTGACACTAAACTCCGATTGGCTCTGGACGAACTGCTCTCCAAGCCTGATCCGCTGGTCGCCGAGTTCTACATTCGACTCCTTCTAGCTGCTGGCAGAAGGGAGACTCTTATTAATTTCTTAAAAATTAACGCTGAATATCGGGCATCCGTCGTGCTGGAGGTAAACATCAGTTGAATTAACGTAGTGTTTACCCTTGATGTCAAAACACCTGTAAACGATGCTCTATTGAGGAATTTACTGGGTGCATCTTTTTCAATTGCATGCCGTAGTCGTCCAGCATATTACTCAAACTTTATTTCACTCGGAATCATTGTCTTATCTACCGTATTGGTAGTTTCTCTGTAAGACAAGCTTCCGTGTCAAGGTCACTCAAAAAAATATACTCAACCATAGAATGGAGTATTCTACTATCAAACTGATGAAAAATGGGCAGGCCACCATCTGTTTTGGTGGATGTTACTTTAAGGTTTACATAGGACTTTGTTCTAATTTCTTTGGTTCAATATTTCAGCTTCTGGATGAGGAAAGCTATCCCTTGGAACTAGCCTGTATATGCGAAAAGACAGGTGACAAGAATAAGGCCTTCGAGTTTCTCCAAAAGGTGCGTTTCTTCTGTTCTTGGTGTTGCTTGCCAAATGTTTGACTACCGACGCGCGCACACACCGGCTCCCACTCTCTTCTCTTTCCCGCATTTGAAGGATTTTCTTACTCATTGGGATGGTCTTGTTGATTGCTGCAGCGTCACCCCAACTAGCCGAAACCCCGAGCCCCTCCGAGAGCACTCCCTTCGGGTCCACGAGCGCGCCGATGCTTGGTTCGCTTTTGCGGCCAGACAGTGCTCGGGCAGTCACACAGCCGCCAATGAGGCAAGCAATACACACATCTACTTTCCATCAGTCGATGGCAAGGATGAGGTGAAGTTGATTTTTGTGTTCCTTTAGCCACTCTGGTATGCCATTATTGATGTCCTCTCGACGCTTCGAAAACAGCAGATGTGTGACCAGTTAAATTCGGGTATGTTTGAGTCATTTGCTTTAATGTATTAAAATCGCAAAATTTGCATATGGTGTTTTGTATGCTCTGTAGAATTGAATCTTATCTTTCAAAAGCTGTTGGAGTCCGCCAGCCCGTTTGTGCCGATTCCCTCGCTCATAAACCGCGTCCTTCAGGTACGTGCTTTCTCCAACCTGTCTGCTTTCTTTTTCGTTTTCTGCCACGCATAGCCCTAATTGAATTAGGCTGTCTAAATTATAAACGCCTGGTTTGCATTAAATGCTGCCATTTCTCCACAATTTCCTCCACGACTGAATCGTCTGAAGTGCTCCACTTTGTCATCGCCACAACTTTGGAGCACATTTCAAGCCTACTTCAAGTAGTAGAATTGTCAGTTTAAATTCAAGTCAAGTTCACAAAATAGCCCATTACACTTTAACCTTAAAACGCCCTATGTGGCCAAGTGCACGAACAGTTCGGTCCTACATTCTTGCCCGTTGTTTTTTACTTCACTTTTAATTTACCTTTGCCTTGATTAAATAAAATGTGCTGTAGGTCAGGTAATCTTCTTCATTGAGGCATATAGGAATGGGCGAAATGGCCCATTTTGGTCACCTTATCTGGACGAATGAACACGCCGATCAATATTTTTGTTGAACAATGAAAGGCCATTTTTAGGGAACCGGGTGGGGTGTTAACATACTTCGGTTTCTGTCGAAATTCGAACCACTCATGAACCCATTTGATTTGGCACTTATTTCGTCGGTGCAAGCAAGGCGAATGCTATAGTGATCTGAATTCAATCTATAGCGTATCCCCTTGTCACGATTTACATAGAACGAAGAACACAACAATAATTTTTGTGAAGGTACTTCAATGTGTGTTTTTGATGCCGACGTCTTGCTTCCAAATTGTGCGTACACACAAACACGTCGAGTGCTCGTGTTTGTGGCCTTCACCGCTGATTGTGGTAGGTCAACACTCTGGGGATATGTGAGTTTGCCTTCTGTAAATACGTTTTTGTGCCAGTCCCAGGTGTTAACATTGCTTTGGATTTGTTACTTTTCTGAATAATTAGTAGTAACTGTATTGTTATAATGAGCTCGTTAAATCCTGTCTGATTATAAATTTCTCTAACGGATAGACCTAAAACGTTCTACTTGCCGACCGAGTCGGCTCCTCGAGGATATTTTGAATTCGCAGCAACCCATTTCGAATTTTCGCGAAAATATGGCCGCCGAGGTCGAATGGTACTAGCACAAAGTCGAATTTTGTGTGAAGCGCGCACATGTGGCCGTTTAACTGCTAATTCGGACGGCAAAATCGAGCCGAACTTACGGCCACGTGAAAATCGGCTAAAACAACCCCGTGTTAATTTCAGCGTAGATCTGGACTGTGTGTTTATGAGTACTCCAGTAACATTGACGCGACACTCCCAAGCATAGCGTATTAATTGGATATCACTACTCATAGACGACTTGGGAGGATTTAACGCCTACTCGTGTGTTTGTCTTACAGCTTGTCGATACGTCCGTGGCGTCGTTTGGTTCGGCGACGAACCGCTTCCTGTTGCAGCTTGTTGGTGTGTGGCACAAGGAGGTCAAACTGATGCGTGACTGTCACCGCCTCATGTCAAGCGATGTCAGCGCTAGCGAACAGCGCATTGTGGGAGTGCTAAAACGTGGAGTCGGTCTGCGACGCTACTCGTGCTCCCTTTGCGGATTCACCTTCGCGCGCCGATACAGGTTGCTCCGCTCGCTTGTCACCTGTTCCTTGCACACGGGCGGCTTTTCCACACTAGATGAGAAGCACGCAAACAAACCCGAGATCATCATATTTTGGTATGATTCTTTAACTTTCTTGAATACCACGTGTCCGAGAACTGACCTAGTCGCGGAGTTGTGCTAGTGAATACCTGTCGAGTACCCTCACAGTAGTTACTTCTCACCGTTCCCATCCAGTTCTTGTTAGGGGAATCAACAACACTGATTTTCCACATGCACACAAGCCTTCTTAGTTGATCATGAAGCGTCATCGAGATCAGCAGGGTCAGTTTATGGCAGTCTATTTTCTTCCTGAATACGTGAGGTGTGCCTGTACCGTAACCCCGTGTTTTGAATCATATCAGTAGAGGAACATCTTGGACCAACTCGACAAAAAGACTCATGAATATCTGGTGATAAGGAAAGCTCCAAAGGTTGTACATATACATCGATGGAACAGATGCAAGTCCAGAAGATGAGTAGTCGTTCTGTGAAAAGTTCCGTAATTGTGTTAATGTGATTATGTCAAGGCATCGTATTGCTAGCGGTTGGTTTTGCAGTTGCTGTATTCTTAGCATGATGCATTAAAGCCAGTGTGGTGATGTATCACGACGTTAAGGCCTAATTCGACTCGCACAATTCGTCCAGTTTTGGGGTTACTTGGATCAGATTATTGCCATTGTTCGTCCTAGAAGGTGAAATCGTGGTCAACGCTAATAGTAGTCCTTCCGAAGTTGAATTAGGCTTCTATCGTTGATCTGAAAGGCTATACACAGCACACTCGCGTCTTTAGTCAATTGTAGGTCCAGACCTGCGTGATAACACGCGTCATTGTAATCGGATTCAAACGTTTAGTTTATAGAAAAGCATAACACGGAAATCGTGCGTTCTGGACGATGACGTGTATCCAAACACTCAAGCTTCACAAGCAGCATCCGTATTGATGACAATATTTCTGGTTAAAGCTCTCCAGATCCGGTACACACTAATAAGCCCAAGTTCATCGATAATGGACCAGTAGTTATTGGAACTTGGCTTCATGCAGTCCGTAAGGGAATCCCGTCGTTTCACGAAGCCGATTTAATCCTAAGAATTCCCAATACATGTTCCAACACTGAAGCAGTACTGGACTTGGATCGCCTTAAAATAATCCCAAGCTTGTTCCGAGACAAAATCTACATTCGGCTCCTATAGGGAGGCAAAATCGCTCACGTTACTTCTTTGAATTCACGGTACTTGCCTCTCTGTCTTGTGCCCTGCTTACACGAAATGTCTTCGTGTCTTTGGTAATGTAAGAACTCTTCGTTGTAAGACGAAAATCCACAAAATTAACTAATCGGTATTCGTAGGTGCGGCCATGGTGTTCACCTTGACTGCTACGAGAGCTTCAAAAACGCTCAAAAGCAGCCCGATGTGGACCCAACAGCACCGCAATACCGTTGTCTCCCGTGTAACCTCTCGGATGTGCATTCACGGCTAGCCCCGAAACTACCCCACGCAGAGACCGAGGGACCGGCCTTTCGCTCTATCTGCCAACTTGACGCTTATGATGAGATACAAATTGAGCCACCTTATAATCGCGTGAGTCCCTCTCATTGGTTCTTGCGGTTGTCTCATTTGCTAAATATGAGTTAAAAAAGCAACAGTGACAGATTTTTCCCTTGTTAAGTTGCGCAGAAACCATGATTTCGCACTCCCGGTTGCGGGACGGTTTCTCGTGCGAGACAATTTTAGGACCGATAGTTTTGTAAGCTCAGACCATCACGAATTACTCTTTTATCTAAAGACAATCTCACGGCATCAGCAATCACCAAGAAAATCGTTGAACCCTTTCGGTGATGAGGAAGACGTGACCGAATGAGCTAACCCCCTCCGATTCAGATCCGGTGAGTCGGACCCGACGACTCTGCCGCCGCACACTGATCTGATTTTGTCATGCTTCTTATTTCTAGATTTGAATTGTAATAATTCCTTGACATGTGATTGTGTAAATAAAACGCATTCATTTTATTAGCGCATTCTCATAGCTGCCATTGCCTAGCCTCTTCCATGCGACTGTGACTCTGGCTTCATTAAACAATGGCATCACTAGACCATGCCACAGTCTTGTTAGAACTGGAGCTGTAATACTTCGCCAAATTTGAACTACAGTTGAAGCCAATTGGTTCAGTCACTCGTAGACAATTTTCTCGAATTTACATGGCCAGTAGATTAACATTCTTAAAGTCGCGAATGAGGCGGAAGATTAAAAAGCCACTAAGGTGAGAACGGACAACGCTACTCAAATTCGAACGGTCGTCACTAACCACGTACCTTAGATCTTAGGAAATTGTGTAACTGGGGAAATTACGAAATGGTGCCATATTTATTCGGGTTTTACCCAATTAATTGCAATGCGGGTCATAACAAAATGCTGTAATTTACTATGGAAACAGACTAAGCACAATTTTGATGCACTGCCAGGTCATCCCCTTGTGTCAGATTGTTCAAGCAGGGACGAAGTGAATTTCTTCAACTAAAAATGGAAAAATTGATTGGGTTTAATTTTGTCGCCCTCGGGCTTGATAAGTTACCCAAAGCAGGTTCTACAAACACATTAATGAGATTTATGTTACTGAACCACCGGGAATATATACAGACTTTTAGGTGCACGTAGGTCTAAACAAAATAAAAGGGGCGACAGCGGCTAATGCACCGCGGTTTTGGTGCATAAAACTGTAAACAGCAGGCCCATAGATAATTTAGCTAGGGAAAAAAAACGCTCAACTCACTAGCTGGATCACACACTTCCTTTCCCTGTTTGAACGGTGGTAATTTGGATAGCTCAGCCTTGGCATCTTCGTACGAAACAAGGTAGGGACTGGATTCGTTTGTCACGCTCTGTCTAAAGCAAAAAAGCACCAGACCAATTTACCGCCTAGCGTAAGGAAATTGGAGACCAGTTGGGCCAAATTGAATTACAAGATAAACTAGTTTCATATTCCCCCCCCCCCAAAAAAAAACATGGAAAGTCACGCGTTACTTCTTTCTTGTATTTACTGAACAGTGAAATAATGTAATTGCTCAAGTCAAAAAGTACCAACGCTTGTGCTTTAATCCAACCCAACACTAAGTTTGAATCAAGTCACAGTAGCGCATTTAAAGCAAACGGTGTGGCACGGTGAGTGTGCCACTCGAACACATGCATACCTGAACAATCCAGTCGATTCAGACTGATGAAGAACCAGACGCTTCCACTGCTCATGCGTTTCAGCAATCATTTTAAGTGCAAAGTCCTAGAGAAAGACGTAAAAATGAGACAAAAACATCCAGATAAACACTAGGACACTCCAGAAAATCTGGACCCACCCTGCCCTTGTACTGTTCATCAAATCCAAACGTATTCTTTGGTTTGCCTGTCGGGACTTTGTAGTTACGGAACCATTCTCTAGTAGCCTATAACCGATTAAGACGAGTAATTCATCTTGACTGCAAGTCGTATTGAAAAATCAAAAAAAACCTTACGTCGAGAAAACCGGGCATGAGCTTTTCCACATCACCTATGTCGTTGAGTTTTTCAGCAAGCGGATCCTGAATGTTGATGGCAATTACCTTCCAGTCAGTTTCTCCTAAAGTTTAAAATATTTAGAAATGCATCATTAGACACTGAATTTAGAGGCCTTGGTCGGACAAAATTGCTCATTGTCCCTAACAGAACATATATCGACTTTACAAATGGCAAATGTGGTGTTAGCAATCGGAGCATGAAGGACCAGAAGTATGAGGAATTTGGGGTAAACCTTTAGGAGACACAGCTGAAATAATAAATCCGTTAAGCCTATTTAGGTTTTCAGTCACGATTTCATGGAGCAACGCCTTTAATGAGCCAGCAATTAAAGCACAATTTACAACATACAAAGGAATAACACCGTCTGATGTGCAAGTAGTCCTCTTAAAGAGGACAACATGGAAAAAAAATTGATTTAATAAAGCTACCTCACATGCGAAAGCTTTTATTTAAAAAAAAACAACGCATACCTTCATCGATCATGGCGAGAATACCGAGCACCTTGACTTGAATAACGCTGCCGCTAGGAAAGATCTTATTTCCAATCTCGCAGACATCGATGGGATCATTGTCGCCTTTGGCCTGGGTGTTGGCATCAACGTGGGAAGGATCCTCATAAGTCTGTGGAAGAGCTCCGTAGTTCCAAATGTACCCTTTATGTGGAAAGACATTGTTCACAAAACGTAATTTGCCCTTTTTAACGTCTTGCTTTATGGGATTCATGAACTCCTCTTTGCATATCTCCATTTTAGCATTGGTCCACCGGGGAATTTCAACGACCATGTTGAAGACATTTGGCGTTGTGTGATGTAAAGGAATGTCATGGAAAGGGGAAATCGGCCCACAACTGGAAACTACAAAGGAATAGTTATAACAAAAATTTCAAAAACCCACAAGTAATCCTCTAGCAAACCTGCGACTGAGAAGAACTACAGATTTAAGGCATTGAAAGTCAGAAGGATCCTAGCAAGTTTAGCCAACCGATTTAATGCATAAGGTTCATAATAATTAGACCATGCAATCCAGTTTACATCGAATTTACTGGTAGAGTCCTAACAGACAACCGAAAGAGCATAAGGAGGAAGCGGACCATTAAACCGCATAATTAAAACCACACAACCTTCCAAAAACATAATAATTGTGTTCGCTTAAACGGGCCATTTGCTGCAAAGCAGCAAAAACCTCGGCATAACATTTTTGTTTAATTCTATGAAGGATAGGCAAGAGCCCTGCTTTAGAGAACGTAGTGTTAATGCGAAATCAGAGAGTTTACTTTGACTATAAACGTCAAAAACCTACAAAAATACATCCTGTAATCTGTGGAATTCGACTCCCCAAATAGTTTCGTTGAATATGTAGCCATCGTAGACCTCAACACACGAAAGGATCGAAGACGGAACAGGGACAACAGCGCCAACGTGTGCAAATCAACACGAAAGAGAGGCGCTACACCAAATCAACAGTGTTAGCATCTATAGTATGGGCTGTGAAAAAACCGAAACTGTGTAAGTAGGGCTACCAAAGGGACTACTTCAAAGACCACTACTTTCATCAGTACAGACTGAATGAAAAAATCTGTCGCAGGATTTATGAATATTTGTTTCGCGACGTACTTTCAAGATTTTGTTGTTGAAGATGACTATAATTTGATCATTTGAAGTTGAGGACTTCTCAGTAAATATCATTCTATTAAACGAAAATTGAGTATGAACAAGATATTAAATGATATTATTTTAACATAAAGTAAATTTTAAGGGTGTCATTGTGGAACATATTCTCCTTTATCTTCCCTTCGTAAAATCACATCGATTTATCCGGTAATTGTAAAAAAATGTGTAAAACAACTACAAGATCAGTCGTAATTAGGCTGCAAGTGTTTTGTGTAACGTTTTATTACAACTCACATTATTAATCCTAAGTAGCTGTGTTTCAAACCATATGAATTTGTTATCTTTGTAATCGAATAATAACTGTCAACGGTTAAACACGTTATATCTTTTAACTGTCAAAAATTAAATATTACATTTGTCATAAGTAGAATAAAATTAACATTTTACTTCACAGGCCGAAATTTAGCCCATAATTGTCACATCGCATTAAGGTCATATTTTGTGTGGCGGTATATGGAAATGTAAAAATTTTACCGACAACCGCCTTGCAACACCAAAATCTTGCTTGAGCTAACAGTTATGTTTTATATTTTTATTTTATTACAATTTAAAGCTTTGGCGCTGAAGCATTTTTAATCATCTCAGGAATTCAGCCAACACCAAATCTTGCAATTTAAGCTCGTTGTCTTATGCATAGATGCAAAACTTGATAGTTTCGAATTTTGGGAGCCAAGATATATTCCTTACCCGACCAATATAGAGTGACGGAAGGATGTTTGTACCAATTCCGTTAATGTTTACGAATAATGTTAGCGTCATATGTGCATTTAATTGAAATTAGCTTATATTACATTTTCTGATGTCTAATATGCATGTTAAGTGATGATATAGTTGTATTCGCAGTTATCTGTGTTAAGTTGAGGATAAATTAAAGATTTTTTTAACTAAATGTGTTGAAGGGAGTCCTAGGAAATATTTAGAATACCATAGGCCGTGATGACATAAACCTCTAATTCCAAGTTAAAATCATAAAAATGAATTAATCGCATCCTCGATACAATAATTAGCATTTCTTACTAAATCTCCAGAATCATCACAATTAAAGTACTTAAGAGCTCTAGGTTTTAACATTTTTTCAATTTTGATTTCGGCACCTCGTTCTCACACACATGAACATAAATCATAATATTGTGAAAATATATATGGAATTCTTCATCACATTCCAAATTAAAAGGTCACTCATCATGTCGATAAAGTCTGATTACAGAAAAATGTTGCAGAGAATTCTGCTTAAATATTTGCAACCTAAATTGCTAGCTTCATACATTTTGACCTGCCCTTGACAATCAAATTTAGCGGGTAGTCAACGATTCCTCCTATTGCCAGCCGGACACGCTATTCAGACCTAGGCCCTTGTACAGAATACTGGCTTCCTACAACCAACTAAGGTTTGATAAAAACTGTCAAGTAGTTACCTGGACGATGTAAGCTCAGTAATAAATCCTTAGCTGTCTTGGGAATTTTAAGGTCCCTTAACTTTCGCGAAGGGCTGCACATAATTTGAAGCCAGTTCCTGAATTCCTCTAGTCAGCATAAAAGCTAACTGATTTGATTGCTATACCCTATCCAGGGGAAAGGGTGAAATAATCCTTGACTGCTTTTGAAAGCCTATTTCGTAGCTCATGAAAAAATATCTGTTGACATTGACCAGAATATTCTACCACTACATTTTATAAAACCCAATTTGACTGTCTTACGTCAGCAATCACTGCAGAAAAACTATTGATATGAAAGTTTATCCACAACAAGCGTTAACATTTCCTTGATGCAGTGAAGGCCCTAGGAACCTGTGGCGACCACAGTTATCAATCATGAGCGAAAATGATTCAATTGATTTACGTGAATGAACTTCACCTAAATATGTTCGTTCAGGGATCGATGTTTAGCAAGGCTATATAAATGCACTTGTTATTTTGAAAACGACACACACATCTGCATCAATAAATTAGTTGAGCTACGCCCCATCAGCTTTTTCTGCTCTTCTTTAGGTCGGGTCGCGACCCCGCTATTGAACTCGTTTGGCCTTCTGCAAACTGAAAATCAAAGTTCTGCCTTGATGGCCTATGAATCGCTCTGACTCGATTAATCTAGCTCCTTATCGACCATTTGGTAAGCTCTGTAGTAGCTTGGTCTTAGCACTACCTTACAACCCTCTAATTAACAGCCCAAGACAACTCGAGTAGAGTGGAGAAGAGG